CTTCAGGTCAGGCTAAGTTTGGGACCCTTCCTTTTTCTAGTTCTGCCTTTCAAATTCAGGTTTTTCTCTGACTCATGCCCCCTCAAGCACCCGGCCAGCAACGCAGACTTCCCACAGCTCTCCTTGGAGAACCAACGAGTATCTTCAAGTCACACTTACCTAGGCGAGAGGTCTGCTTGCGCTTAATTTCAACAAGCTTTGGAATAGGGTAGGGTCCATAGCAATGAGTGAAAATGACAGAGAGCTGCTGGCTGATCACTTCATTCTAAGCAAAAGAAAACAAATATATGCAATGTAAGCTTAGTATGCAAGTTAATATCAGTATGCAAAGGAGATGTTACATTCTCAAGAATTGCCTCTTTTGAAGCTGAAGAATGTGATTGCTGAAGCTTTATTAAAAATCAGAGCTTAGGATTATCTGTATTTGTTAGAAACTGCAATTCTCATTTACTTGATTGCTATGTCTCCTGTAGTAATCAGTTAAAATGAAAAGTCCTCTCCTTGGACCAGAGGTGGTCTCTTCCTAACAAACCCCACAGCCCTTGTCCCCTCTGTAGAAACAAAGCTCCTTTACAATAGCGATTCCATTTAATTTGCAAACTCACTGTACTGGAAAACGACTTTTTGTTGCTTTTTACAAAATGGTCATTGGTCATGTTTTAGAAACCCAGAGCTACCAAACAGATATAGGTGCACAGCCTGCGTGCATTTCCTACGCACAGCAGTCTCACAAACAGACCCTCCCTTGCAGAGTGACAGAAGCATGACAGCCTGTCCTTGAGTCTCCTCATTCAATCCCAAATGTTTCATTAACGTGCCCGTATACCACTGGCACTGACCTGGGCACTGCTGTCCTGAGGAACCCGCCAGACCTTCACAGAACCAGGTCTGGCCCCTGGCTTTACTCATCTCTGCCCAGACTCCGGGGGAAAGGCACCCACAGGATGCTTTCCTAAGCGCCTAAGCAACTTGAGTATTTGCATGCCTAAGCTGCAAGGATAGCGAAAATGGATTTAGTGCTTAACTACCTAAGTCACAGCCGAAAGCAGGATTTAAAAGCTTTGGCAAATTCTGTCCCACTCTTTGCTGGGAACCGGAGCAGGTCTAGCCAAGTTCAATGGTGCCACATGGCTAATTCATGACGATGTCTTTTAACTACCCTGTTGGCTGGCGATTCCCTTCCACACCAGGAAACTGTGAAAAGGTGAGGCACTTAAATATGAGAGGGTCCAAGGCCAAGGAAATAAGCAGGTAAGGAAGAAAAACAATCTTAATATAAAAATTTGAGGAGTGTAGATGTTATACTAAAAATATCTCCAGGCTTATAGAGCAGAAATTGAAGCTTTCTCTGAGCACGTTTCAGCTCAGTTCTAACAGCGGTGCTCCTTAAATCCCACAAGGGACAAGGAGGAGTAGCAGAGATCCTGTAATGACTCCCTTACTGCATCTAATCAAATGGGGTGGGAAAGAGTAGAGCTGTGCCCTCACAGGCACACGCTGATGTCAAAGGAAATTACATGCGCTCGCCCGCAGGCAGGAGTTGGCTCCTATTACTACGTCAGATGTAGCATTAAAAGAAACACTAAGATAAGGGAAATACTGATACTAAGAGACACCATTTAACACGGCACAGGGACCAGCCCTCAGAGAGGGGCTTGCTGCTGTCGCTCCAAGACAAGGAGGATGTCCTGCGCTGGGAGCATCTCTCTGTTCAGCATCTTCCAGCAGGAGCTCTGCAAAGCGCTTCACAAAGGGAGTGAATCACAGGGCGAAGAGAAAAGGAAGATTTAAGGCCAGATTTAAAGAAGGAAGTGACTCAGCCGCCGCCGGGAGGGCTTGGGGGGGAGAGCTCTAGACAGACAGGGCAGAAAGAGCAATGGCTTCTCTGCTCGGAAGGGCTGTGCCGAAGCGCCGTGGCTGACTGAGTCAGCCAGGGAGGAGCGCGTCCGGGGGGATGCTGATTACCAGCAGGGCAGCTCCCAGTTGGATCCAGTAGATGCTAAGAAGTCAGTAAATGCAACGGAGGATGGGGATAATTCCGCAGTTCAGAGCGGATGGAAGCTTCTGGACAGGAGAGAGGTATAATTGGAAGAGCAACACTCACCTTTACCCGCACTGAATAAGAGCAGAGTAACTGCACTAAAGCACATAGCTACTGGCAGCTCCCTCTCGAATCTGCCAGGGTGCACAGCTCCTGTCTATACCACTGTGGTTTTAGTGGATCCATGAACTCACCAGTCCCAGCCACAGCTGTGCCTGGGCAATAGCTTTGTAAAAACACACATATAAGTCAATAAAGACAACGCATCTCCTTCTTCCAGGGGTGTCCATGGGAATGCGCCGATGAAAAGTCTGGGTCTCAACCTCCCAGTGCTTCATTAGGAGCTGGAGGTCTCACTCACAGGTCCAAGCCATGGCACCGCGTACCGGGACACCCAGGTGCACCAAGACCAGGGAAGAATGGGCCACACCCAGGCACACAGGTGCGAGAAGGGGATCCCTGCCCGTAACTCCAACCAGCACGATGAACGGGTCACGCACACAGAAAACTCCATGGGAATCTGCCTACACAGGCGAGGTGCTGCCAGCTCCCTGGGTCACCAACGGGGCACGAACCCTGTGGTGTGCAGATACAAGCCCATTGTAAAACCACCTTGCCACTGACTGCCCACAAGCCTGTGAAAAACCTGGTGTAAACTAAGCTCTAATTAGCTCAAGATGTGATACGTTTACATGAGAGATGCTTAAAAACCCTAAGAGACAGGACGAAGAGAAAAAAAGCAGCATCAAAGAAAGCAGGGCCATCAAACAGACGGTGGCTCGATGCACTGCAGAGCTTCAGAGCTCCAACACAGGACACTGCTCTCATTTGGCAGAGAGGAGGTTGGAGACCTTTGGCTTCTGTTGATAACATTGAACACTTACAATGCTTGCCACTGAAAGACCAAAAAATCTGCTCAGCTAGAAAGCTGAAGCATGCGCTCATTTAGAGTCATCGCTAACAAACAGCAGCAAGTTTTCTCCCCGAAACACAGGGAGGGGAGCGGTGAGGTATTACAGCAGAGCAAGCTCGCTTCCCACACCACCCTGCACACAGCCAAGCTCACAGGGCTGCGCCCCACAGAGCCTCTGCTGTCTTTCCCAATAAACCAGGCAAAAAGAGGCAGCAAAGAGGAGAAAGAAAAGGGATGCTTTTGGCTGCAACTGGATGGCTGGGGAAAAAAATTGGCTTTTTTTAAGCCAAATCCTGCTCTTGGAGCAGGCTGAGCTGGGCTGCCTGTGAAGTAACTGGGAACAACTGCAAGAGTCCACAACCTGGGGCACTAGCATTGCTCTGGCAGAGAGGACAACACGTCCAGCCTATTCAACCTTCCCCTTCGCAAAGTGCCTGTGCCAGGAAGCTCAGAAGCTGCCCTGGTTACCACATCCATCCCATTTAAGCACCAAGCTGGATAATTCTTCTCTATTTATCCTACCACCCTACCAGCTGACTGTGAAAGAACAGCTGTAAGAGCTTGCTGCAGCAGTTGTGGGCGGTGATATTAACACTGGAGGAGCAAACTGAAGTTTGTTTTCTTGCTACGGTTTGATGTTGGAAAACATTGTGCCAGGATGTGCGAGGCTGAGATCTGGAGCGAGGCCAGCTTCCTTTCAGACATGGGTGATCATTCGCAGTCAAAGGGAGATGATGTGCATCTTCTACTGTGGGAGGGGGAAGAAAGCTTGGCATAGGATATAATAAAAATATTTACCTAGCCATGGGGTAGTTTACAGATAGGCAAGAGGGAACAAGGGACAACAATGAATCTTCTGAGGTAGATGGTGCTTCCAGCAGAGAGTTGGTCAGTGAGCAAGCAACTTTGCTTTGTAGATACAAGCAGTCTCCTGACTTAAAAGCATTCTTCAGCAGAGATCTAAAGGAATTCCCCGCTCCTGGTGAGTGCACTTGAACTGTGAGGGGAATTCATACATTCTTTTGAAGCAAAGCTGAAGGTTTTCAAGTTGCTAGAGCAGAGATGACTATGCGATTGATCTGAAAAGAGGTGAAGACCTGGATGGGGAATGCAGAGGTATTTTTTCCTAAATGTCCATCTGATGAAGATCTGTGACAGGACTCAGGAAAGGCTCCTCCAGACTTTGGCACATACCCTGGGAGAGCTTGTTCCATTCCAGCTTACCCAGTTCAACCCAGCCTAGCCATTCTGGGATGTGATCCTACAAGGTACTGGACACAGCTGGGAAATACACAGCCGGTTTTCTTCAGTAGCTGTGCAAGATACATGTCATCTTGGTGGCTATGCTGCGAACTCTCAAGGGGAAAACTCGCGTTGGATTCAGCAGTTAGGCTAAGGTTTTGCTCTTCTCTGATCACGCTTTGCTTCAGCTGCCTCTTCTTCGTAGGCTCCCCCATTCCCACACCACATCTCTCTGGACTGCTCAGTTCTCCTTACTGGCCTATAGATATCCCACCACCTCCACGTGGCTGCCCTCTACAGTGGTAACAAGTTAGGCTGCTTTTCTTTGCCTCTGAAATCCCAAGTAGTACTTTGGGTTTTCCTTCTATTGATGTCACCCTCATCAGCTCAGCCTCATTAGTGCTGTTTTAACCTAAGTGTGCCAGGCCCTCAAATTCCTCTACCACAAAGCCCCAAAACCAAAAGCTCACTACATTAGGCAGAAAAGCTAACCTTCTGGGCTCGGTGTCTGCCTGTTAATACACACCTCCCCAGCACGCAGAGAACCCATGCTGCTCAGGGAACAGGGGCACTGGCAAAGGTATCTTTTCTCTCCCTGGTCCTGAGGATGGTGGGGGGGCCCAGCTCTGTACTAAATGCAGAGTGCCAGAAGCGCTCCTTCTAGTCACCCATTTCACACGCAGTCCCCACCAGCAGTTCCAGCAGTGGCAGAGTCTCAGGATACCCCAAGCCCATTGAGGACTCATCCATGAACTTCCTTTCACGACACGCTGGAATACCCTTGAATTATTCCTGTTTATGCTCCCCTCTTACCAGAAAGAGACAATAAAGAGTGAAGCAACGCAGAGGGCTTTTCGCAGACCCCCAGGCCTGAGCACTCAAGTTCTACGAGACTTTCTTCGCCATCTCTCTGAACTTTTTCCATCCTTGCCTAGGTGTTTCCGTTATGGTCCTCGCATATAATTCACTTTTGCCAGCTGCCTCAAAACTGATTAAATGCCACTTTAGAGGGTCACTCCTAGATGATTAAGCAGCATACACATAATCAATATTAGTCAACAGTTGCAAA